CCAGCCTCATATTTTTTTTTTTTAAAGATTTTTATTGGGGAATTGGGGGAGGGGAACAGCGCTGGGGAATCGGGGGAAGGGGAACAGACAAGTTGTTGTCCTTTTTGTTCTTCAGTCTAGTTGTGGAGGAGTTGCTTCACTGGCCCAAGTTGGCACCATCACTGCGCTCTTCCCGGGCTGAGGCAGATCAGTCGCCGGCTTCTGGACGGCCACTCACTGCAGCTGCTGGCCGCTCACGCTTCCAGCCTCATATTTCAATACTCCATACCTTATAATTTATGCTTCAGCAATCCTCAACTATGTACAGTTTGCTAAACATCCCAAAGCAACCAGCTCCTCTATCCCTACTGTCTTCTTTGTCTATACAACAAACACCCTCTTCCCTCCACCATCTATGCACCAACTTCTGTAAGTCCCATTAAGCCAAGGTTTCTTAACTCAGCACAACTGACATCTTGAGCTGAATAATTCTGTTGTGGGGGATGTCCTGTTTACTGTAACATGTTTAGCAGCATCCCTGGCCTATACTCACTAGATGCCCATAGCACTCCCCGAGTTGTGATGAGCTTTTTTCCTCCAAAGGACACTTCCTAATTTCACACATTTACAGATTTTGGCATGTATTTTCCCCCTGAACATTTGAATTGGCTGCAAAGTGAAAATTTAAGTACACATTTATATTTTATGATATTATGTTATTTTCCTTTTTTATGGAAGAATTCTACCATTTTTTTTCCTTTTTTTAAAAAAATAACCTTAATCCCACTGAATTTGGGGAAAAAAAATTTTGTCATACTTCTCTTTCTACCTTACTATAGTTTGTACACTAGCCCTTTTATGCAAATCTCAACAACTCTCCTAAAAGTAACATGGTTATACTGGGAAGCTTAAAATTTTAAACGAATCTGAATTGAACTTCAGCATGGTTATACATTTTGCATTTAATGTTTGTTTATACCTGCACTGTTACAAGAATTCCAATCAATGATTTTACCACACAGACTATTTTAAATTATCATTTATAAAGTTCACAGGCTGATTATAATGCAGTATTTATCTTTGTAGCACAAATCAATACACTAGTAAAAGGCATATGTCTAGTGACAAACTTTTGTATTTCTATAATTAGATAAACATTAACTCATTATATGTATTCCTAAATAAGCCTGTGATAAAACTCAAGAATTTCTGGATATTGCATTTACTCAGAAATATATAATCTATTCCCCCAAAAAACATATTTATAAAAAAATCATATCTTTAAATGCGTAGCAACCACAAAATATTTTTTAAATGCTGAACCCTAAGTAAAACGATTCAGAAAATCATAAATTCCAGGCACATTTAATAGACATTTAATAGTTCTCCACTAGTGCTGAAAAATCATATTCTTTTCCCATGAAAAACTTTAAATGAGTCATAGTTTCCTTACTAAATCACTGTTTTAGTTAACGTATGGTAAGAAAAGTTAACTGTTTAGTCACTTGAAACTTTATATTCATATAAATTGCATAAGTATAGTTTACTACATACAATACTTTGAACACATAGCATCATGTGCATAAAGCTCATTTGACATTTATCTGGTAATAGAGTGAAAAGTTGTCTAAAATACCTCCTAAAAACTCAAGATTCCCACTGTCTAAACTTATACCAGAATTAAACAACTTGAAATCAAGCACAACGCTTTTTCCTGGCACCCAGGCAGACCTATCTATGTTCCATGCCCAACTTTGAGTTAAGTGAACATATTTCTTTCCCTTACACATTGGCCTAATTATTCACTCTGATGCACTAAAGTTCTAACTTTGTAACTAACTTTTCATTGATAATGAAATCGATTCATGGTTAGCACAAAGGTTTCCAATCTGAAAAGTGTTAAAAGGATATTACCACCATACCTATAACGCATTTACAGAACTAGACTGTAGTCCACTTTTCCAGATTGGTGTGGTGCTTTCTGTCTGTTATTTTAAAAAATAATAAGGGGAGAGGGAAAGAGCTAGGGAAAAATAAATCCGCACCCCTCAATTATGTTCATCTTTTAAGAGTATATAATTTATCCAAATTTTAAGCTGTAGGGCCAACTCGTCAGCACCTACTAATCAAATCACACAGGATGGGTCGGGGGGAGGGGGGGGAGCTCTTTCTCCTTCTCCACGTAAGTGCCCAAAAGCACCCCTGGCTTGCTCATTCTGCCAGAGGCATGGAAATTTGAAAAAATAAATTAGTCATAGACAAACCTGATGATCCAAGAAAGCCCGGAGGAAGTCCCCCAGCACTTGTGGAAGGTGCCCGCTCTCTGAGCGCTCAGGGGGCGCGGCAGCCCGATGGCTGTCGCGGAAGGTGCTCACACCTGACCGGCGTGTCCCGCTCGACCCACAGGTCGGAGGGGGGCGGGGAGCGCTCGGAGGAGCAGGACCGCTAAGTGGTCCCGCCGCGCCTCACCGTCGCTGCCCGACGGCAGGCAGCGCGCGAGAAGGTGAGAGGCGCAAGAGGGCAACAGGGAAGGACCCACGGCGAAGTGAAGGCAACATGTTAACAAAATAGCGGCCCGGTGGGCAGGAGGACCCAATGGCAGTTCGCAGACTCCGGGAGCAGGAAGTGCCCCTCGCCGCCCGCAGAAGCCCGCACGTCCCCTGCGCTGGCGGCAACTCCGAGACACCTGTTTGGCCGCGCCCGGGGCTTGGTTCCACCCTCCACGCTCCCCCATACACACTCCGAGGGGGGAGGGCGAAGGGAACCAGGACCTTGGACCCACAGCCTGAGGGCGCCTCCGCTGGCCGTACCTGACATCAGCCGCGGCTCCCTCTCGCCCCTCCTGGGGGGCAGAGAGGGGGACGACACGAGACCAGCGACCTTCGCTCTTCGTGGCAGCCGCAGAAGTGGCTCGTTGCCGCTAGCCGGGGCCGCCCGCTGCCGCCCAGATTATTCCCGGGTACCGCGGCTACGGCGGCGGCGGCGGCGGCGGTGGCGGCGGCGGCAGGGGCGGGCCCAGCGCGCGCTCCCGCCCGCTCGCTCCGCCCCTCCCTGCAGCGCGTTCAGCGCGGCCCGCCGACGGCGCAGCCGCCACCCAGGGGTCTCCTAGCGCTGACGTCGCCGCCGCCGCCGCACCAGCCTCAGGGAAGGGCGGAGCGAGAGGGGGCAGGGTGGGACGGGGCTACGGCGACGTGCGAACATCGGGATTGGCCGCCGAGCGCACGCCCCGCCCTTCTGCGAAGGGGTCTGGGAAGTCGGGTCTTCGGTTAGCAGTAGTCGCAGCCCCCTTGCGTCTCACACTGCCCGCTTCCACCTCCTTCATCTTGCTATAGGATCTTGCACTAGCTTCCGGAACTGAGAGGGACTAAAGCAGTGAAACAGCTGGGTATGAGGCCGGGGTGCCTTATGGTCCTTTGACTGAGGGACAGGATCTAGCCGTGCAGGAGTCTTTTGACCTCTAGCCTGCTCTTACCCCGTTTTTTCCGTCTTCCCCGCCCCCACTCCAGTACTCGCTTGACTCTGTATCTCTCTGGCCTTAATGAAAGGAAATACGGCAAGATGAGGTATGCAAATAGGTACTGGCTAACCAGACGAGTGAACCAGGAAGTGCTGAAAATTCAGGTAGTGATAATACCACAAAGCCTTCTTGTAGGCACACGTGGTCTTTGGTTCTGTCATTACTTCAGTGCTGCCAGGCGATGGCAGGAGGAGCTTCCGCTGGACTTTGGAAAACTTATCTCAGTTTTAGCTAACAAAAGGGCTTTGAATCAGAATACTGTCTAGATTAAAGGGACACGCCTACTGACCATTCAGGCAACCACAAAGCAGTCAGGAGGTGGAGGTATTGGTGTTTATAGTGTTATTGGTGTTAACCATGTCTCTACAAGGCCTAGCTTGAGGGCGAGGAAGCTATTTTGCTTCCTTTAAACGCCCTCCTCAGGAAGTTCTTTAGTGACTTTCAGCATCTGTGTTAGGAGAGTGTGGGCTCTGGGCTGGAATCTTGGTCTGTCCACCTATTTGCTGTGTAATCTTGGCGACTTCCTTAGCAACGTGCCTAGAAGAACTAACGTTTGTAAATTATCAGTTTTCCTCTGATTTGTTTAGACTCAGCTTTAGTGTAGCTTGGCAAGATATGCCACTAATAGATCCAAAAGAATCTATCAAAAGAATTTTAAAACACCTAGTGATTCTTATCCAGACCTCTCATTTTTCTGATGAGAAAACTGAGGTCAGAAAGATAAACTGAAAGGCCCATGCTACAAGAGAAGTGCAAGAATCCTGACGTCCAGGTTAGTGCTCTTTCCTTGGCGCATGCCTCGAGACTTCTCTCCCATACATTCCTGCCTCCATCCTCTTCTCTTCCCCAACCTGTGTATAGCTACTGGCCAGCCTCACCCCCTTCCCTCTCACAGCCACTGTAAAACAGGGAATGATGACCCTTCAGAGATCACGATGTTCCAAATAGTAAGGAAAGCAAAGCGAAAAACTCAGGATTCCTAATCTCATTTTAATTTTATTAAAATTTATAATGAATACAGAATAATTTTTCCAGGGAGCAAAGATTAGAAACCCTTCCAAGGATAAGTTCACCCACAGCATGTCTAAGAAAATTACTGGCAAGAAGGAATGTTGACATAAACAACTCCGGATAATATCAGCCCCTCCCACCCTCTTAGGTATTTTTGAAAATAGCTATTATTTTGATGAAAACAATACATACTATTCAAACAAATACAATTTTTTTTTCAAAATCCTATAATCTAGAGATAATCATTTTGTTTTGGTTTTTTTGTTTTTTGGGGTTTTTTTAGCTGAGCCATCCTGCCACCTGTTGGCAGCTGTTGGTAGCTCAGCTCGGGCCGGGAATCAACCCAGCGACCGTGTTGCTCAGAGCTCACACTCTTGAGCGAACTCTTAACTAACTGAGCCACTCGGCAGGCCCTAGAGATAACCATTTTTAAAAGTTCATGTTATATTCTTCCAGGCATCTCTAAGGATAAAAACCAGAAAGGCATATAAATACAATATTTCATAAATGGGATCGTATGTACACAGTTCTTTTCTCACTGAACAATATGTTATGAATAACATCATTTTAAAAATTTGCATAGGGCGGCTGAGTGGCTCAGTTGGTTATGAGTTGGCTTAAGAGCACAAGCTCTGAGCAACAGGGCCACCGGTTCGATTCCCACATGGGCCAGTGACACTGCCCCCGAGCTGAGCTGTCGCTGAGCTGCCAACAGGTGGCAGGATGGGTCAGCTGGTGTAACAATAAGGTTGCCTGTTTGATGGTGGGCTACACCTACCCGCAACTAAGACTGAACTCAGCACCAGATGGCTCAGTGGCTAGAGAGTGCGCTCTTAACAACAAGGCTGCTGGCTCGACTCCCGCATGGAATGGTGGCTACACCCACCTGCAACTAAGATTTGAACACTGCTCCTTGAGCTTAGAGGCCACGAGCTGCCTATGGGCAGCCAGATGGCGACTGATGCCCTTCACAATGAAGATTGAAGAACAACTTGGTGGGTCCCTTCCCTAATTTCCCAGCACTATTCCCCTTCCCCAATTCCCCAATAAAATTATAAAAAAAAAGTTGCATAGTGTTCATTAAGTGGATATATCATCATTTATATAACCAGTATTCTATTGATTGACATTTAGGTTTTTCCCAAACTTTTACTATTATAACTGATGAACTTTCTTATGCATGTCCCTTTATACAACAGTAGTTATCTTCTTGGACAAATTCCTAGAAGTGACATTTTTGTCAGCCAGTTCTTCAACGTTATCAACTAAAAGAAAGAAAGTCGTCGCCTTTTTATATATTTATATATGGGACTCAAAATGACCAGATTTTCCCATTTGAAACACAGATAAACCTGAGACAGTATTGCTGTCTGTCTGGTGTGGTGTTTCAATAATGTGTGCCAGAGCTCCTTGGAGCAGGGTGCTAGACAATGCTAGTTGTTTAAGCCAATATATTTCTTCCTTACTAGCAGAACTCTAATATTTTTCGGGGTGACAACATGTCCAGTTAAAAATCTTTACTTCCCCAGACTCTTGTAAGCCATGGTTGGCCATGTGACCTGTCAACAAAATGAAAGTGGATGTTGCTAGCAGGGACTCAAAGCTTTATGGAAGAAATGTTGACTTTGTCATTGGACCTGTACGCATTCTTTTTCTTACCCGTGGCATGATGCTGGAGGTGGAGCAGCCATATTTCAACCATAATAACAAAACCCTTGTACACTATTAATAGTGTAGGAAGTCAGAGGTGCCTGGTTCATGACTGCTTTGGAGGGCCAGCTTACCTGCTCTGACTGCCCATTTCTGGACTTGTTATGTGAGGGAAAATAACCTCTTTAAGGTTTTGTTGTTTGGGTTTTCTGTTATAAGCACTGAATACAATTCCTAATTGATATCTTAAGATAGAAGAAGTTACCATCTATTTAGCACTATTTGTAGAATTTGTAATAGGGTGAGATGAAAATGGGGATACAAAATGGAAACAAACAAACAAAAAGAACCTATTCTCTTCTCTAATACACTTAGTTTCCATTTAAATACCCAAATATTACAATTAGATTAACAAATCATTTGTAATAACTAGATTAAATTCTGTAAAGTACATTATATTCACTGGTATAGTAGTTTTAAATTATGTCCACACGTTTTTTGATACTAATTCCTTCAAAAGGTGGAGCTGAATTCCCCTTTCCTTGAGTTTGGACTGTGCTTAGTGACTTGTTCTCATGAGTAGAACATTGTAGAAATGACATAGTGTAATTTCTTAGGGCGGTTATGAAACATACAGAGAGGCCCACATTATGAGTAATTAAGCCTTCCGGCCACCAGCTATTGAGGAACTTAGGATTGATGACAGCAATTTGAGTGAACTTGGAAGCAGACCCTCCAGCCCTAATCAAGCCTTCAGATGACTGCATCCCCAATCATCTTTACTGAATCTCAAGAGAGAACCTGAGCCAGAACCACTCAGCTAAGCTACTCTTGAATTCCCAGCCCACAGAAACTGTGAGTTAATAAATGTTTGTTGTTTTAAGCCATTAAATTTTGGGATAAGTTGTTGTGCAGTAAAGATAACTAACACAGCTGGGTATAACAGAGCCTAGCACAATGCCTGACACATATATCAGTGTTTATTTATTGTTTGAATGAATAAACAATTGAATGAAGTAGAACATATCTTTTTCACTTTAAAGGGTAACATTCAATGCAGGTACTACCTTTGATCCCTGACACCTATATTATATAAGGGTTTTCTGACATGATCATGGAGAAATCAGTTATGAATATTACTGAAATCTAAACATTTACATTCCTGAAGGAAACATATAGGGAATAGAGCAATAGAACTCTTGAGATTTGAATAATGCCTCCAGTTTTATCACTGATTAGTTGAATTGGTGATGGCAAGCCGTCTAAGCCCTCTATATCTCAATTTCACTATCCATAAATTGGGAAAAATAACCCCAACCTGCCTCAAAAGGTGATCAATGAGATTATATGTGACAGTGTAATTGTAAAGCATTAATATTATTTTAATTACATTAGGCTCATGAGGTCTATCCTATTGCATTTAAAAAAATTTTTTTTTTAAACTTTATTGGGGAATAGTGTGTTTTTTCTAGGCCCCATCAGCTCCAAGTCACGTCATTGTTTGCAATCTAGTTGTGGAGGGCGTA